AATTTCAGAGACAAAAATTTTGCAAAGTTTTAAAAAAAAGATATGAATTAGCTTTACAGAAAATTGGCAATAGCATAACAAGGTAATTTGATAAATATTCAAACGAAACTAAATTCATTTAATTATGTTATATAATTGTTGAGATATGCAATTTTTTGTCACCGTCGTTTTTTTCTTAACACACTGTAAAACATATGAGAAAATTTTCTGAGGCAGGCCGTTATACACCATGGGAAATTTAATTAAGAAAACCGTTATAGAGTAAGGTTTTTATATAATAAAAATTTGGGTTCTGATTCGCAGTGCGTTATAGAAAGGGTCGTTATAGAGAGTGTGAACTGTATAATGTTTTATAATTCTGTTACAAGTATGTGTGAACAAATTTCTGAATTATGTTATATTTTTTTCATTTGGAACTTCGTCACCAAGAATTCTTGCATTTTTCAATTCCCTCCTATGCAGATAAGATGCGCCTATGTTGTTTCAAACTCAGGCACTGGGACATCTTATTTTATTATTGTCAAAAGTTGAAATAGCATCAAGTTGACACAACACGTGTGTATGCAAAAATTTCTCTATGTGCCAATATTGACCTGCATATATATGTTTCAAATTCCGACACTAAAGATAATACAAACATGTTTTGATTTTTTTTCATTTTTTTAATAAAAGAAGAAATATTATTAATACAGTAGTTGTAGAGTGAAATTTTTTTATTAATTAAAAAAAAGAATGTTTTTTTAATTATTGGAGAATAAATTATTTTATTTTATTTAAGTATGTTATGTAAATTGTTAATTAAAATTTTTTTACAAAAAAAATGAATCTTTACAATTATTATTGTGAGTAGTCAATTAGAAAATGTGTCATTTTTAAATATTCAAAAACATTAATATATTAATGAACAAATTTATAAAACTTTTATCAGATACAAAAATAAAATAAAACATATAAAATATTAAAGCAATAATAATAGTAGCATGGTGATAGGTCACTTTAATTACAAGGAAAGGTTTATTCTAATTTAAATAAAAATATCATTATTAAAAAAACAATAAATCAGATAATTATTACTAATAATTGAAGATTTGTAAAATTCAATAATCTACTTGTATAAACAGCATTTGGATGAACAGTTGCTATAATTGTTGAAAGATTAAAAGGTTTTTTATCTGCTTCCTCAAATATTTTTCTGGTTTTTTCTAATTCATCAAGCTGTTTTTAAGAATAAATTACAATCTTCCAGATCATTTTCTACTTACTGATTATTAAAAACCCTAAATCTTGATATTTTTCTAATATTTTTCCATCATCATTTTCTAGAAAATTATCATACATATATTTTTTAAAATTTATTGCTAAAGGTTTGAGTCCTTTCCAATTCTTCATTAGAATATCCAAAGAGTGGTTACTAACATTATAAACATTACAAGTAAAAGTTATTGACTTTAATTTTTCTGGTAATGTTTCATTTAATACTGTCAATATTTTATCAAAATCTATTTTATCAGGAAAAAATCTATGAAATCTAATACTTTTTAATTTAATACAACTATTGAATACTTCCAATAATCCCTGGTCTAATTCATCCTTATATATTATAGATAAATCTTCTAAATTTTTACAATATTGTGCAATTGATTGAAATAATTTTTTCAATCTATCCTTACAACCACCAACATCCAGATTTTTAAGATTTTTTCCATTGATATTAATAAAATCAGACAAGTCTGGCATATATGGTTGATAAGTAATATATAACTTCACAGATTCAATATTTGGCAGTGAAAGATTTTTCAAATTTATCATTTTGCTATCAGAATAAATTGATAATTCTAAAGTCTTTAAATTTTTAAAAGTTGGTAATAATAAATCATTAAAATGATCTTCATTGCCATGAGATTTATAAAAAATTATTGATTGTGAATGTGTTAATATTGCTTTCCTTAATTCATCTGATAACTTTGGTGGTTTAATAGATAAATATTTAATTTGCTCTTGTGCTTTAATTAGCTGTGCTATATTATATATATTTTCATTGCTATCACAACAAATTTTTAATGATTGAATATTTTTACAAATATTTGCTAATTTATCAAAAAATTCACCACTATCAGAACTCTTACAATATATTTCATAAAGATTCTGAAAACAATTATCAAATCTATGATGATTAATTAATAGATTACAATCTGTGTGATAAGGAGCAAACTTTCTAATACCTGTTGAATGATCTAAAATAAAGTTTTCTAAATTATTTTGTAAAATTTGATTTAATTTTTTATTTTTTACCAGGTAATAAAAAGTACGATGACGCTTGAAAAATATAGTACAAAATCTAGCATAATTGTATAATGGTGGCCTCTCCAATAGTTCAAAAGTTAATACAAAGCAATTTCTAGTTAAGAAATCCTTATCTTCTCCTAACATACAATTAATTATTATTTTGATACTGCCTTTAGAAAAAAATGGATTCTTCCATAAAATTGGAATATTTATATTGTGCCATTGTTTGTTGACACGAATACAAGAATATAATGCTTGGTAATCATCTTCAATATATTCAAATATTTCAGTCAGAAGTTCATGTGGCAAACTAATTATTTCAATCATTTTTTTTTTTAATAATTTGTTTGTCGCACAATGATGAAAAAAAAACTTTTTATTTATCCAACCAACATACGTATAATGGTGAATACAACGTTCAATCCAAAAGATTTACCATGCTTATTCGAAAATCTTGTTGAAATTAAGGAGAAACAGGAATGGAATTTTGCATCAGAAGAACAAAACTTTTGGCTATTTTCCTGAATTATTTTCATTATTTAATTCTTTAGAAAATTATTCTATTCAACTTGTTGCTAATAATTATTTTATTGAGCATTTAAAAAAGTTAGATAATTCAAGTTCCTCATCTATCATAGATGAAAAAGGCCTAAGCAAATTATTGAAGCTCCCATTTATGAAATTTTGACATCCGATAATTATATATATATTCATCCATTAATTTCATTTATTATGAACATAAAAAAATTCAAATTTATTTTACTTTCTCGATATTTTATATATATACTCATCCATTAATTCCATTTTATTATGGATGTAAGAAAATTCAAAATTATTATATTGCGAGCAAACAAATCCTAGCTACAAGCTCGTGACATGTCCAACAATATATATGAATAAGATAAAGCATAAAGTCCAATAATTATATAATCTTCCCTGACTCCCGGCTCAAGGATTCCAATATTTATACACGAAGCTAGTAGCTTGTTCCCCAGTTATCTTGGGACTCTAACCCTCAAACCTATTTACATTGATGACTCGAACCTGTCAACCGGTTTATTCCTTCAAATAGAACTCTAATCTACCTAATACCAGTGATAAGACTCTAACCTATTAGGCTAATAAATATAAAGAAAATAAAGAAATATATACAAGAAATATTTACAACTATAATTTTATTCACTTGTGATCGATTTGCTTCAGTCATTTACCCTTGTTTACATTTATCGGCTGATTGTAAACCTGCTTTGGTTTACCTGTTTAACAGCATTACATTCACGATTACAATAATATTACCAATGTTTTTTTTTTCCACCACATAATCAAATGAAATTGCTGAATAATAAACACATAATCAAATTACTAAATATTAGCTAATAGTTATAACATTAAAAGGATAAAATTTTATTTGTATAGTGCGAGTCCACATCAAATCAACAATCCATCGTCGAGATTACTTGAAAAAAATTATTGGTTTCAGGTTATTGCTTTTAAAAATCGTGTGTTTTTATATGCTATATATAAATTTCCAAATTTAAAACATTTAAAGTTTATCGGAAAATTTTAAAAGCTAATAACTCCGGAACTAATGATTTCTTTAAAATTATCTCAACTAGAGCTAGCCAATAGCTATCAAAAATCATTTATATTTTTTTCAGACAAGCATTCAATAATTTCCCTACCTTAGCAGCATAAACGGATTAAAACCTAACTCGGTAATAATTGTCTTGACTAAACTTGACTTAACATATAACTAAACAGTTTAGTAAGTTTAGTCAAGTGCTCATTTGAGTTACGCAGCCAGCCATGATCTAGCTTTAAAGTTATTTGATGTGTTAGAGTAACCCACACTGTAGCCCTCAGAAAAATACATAGACCATTATTTTCGAAAATTGCATTTGGCTACATTTTGCTTTCTAATTCAATATTATGTCCACATTAATATTAATATGTATTTTTACCTTAAATTTTCCATTTAACACACAGCACTGTTTGTTATTCAAAGATATTGACATAAATGCATGAATGAAAAATATAAAAATAAATAATTTTCTCATTTTAATCCAAGTTCATTCTTTTTAGTCAATAAATTATCCGTCTGTAACAATTCATGCAGCCAAGAAGAATCCATCTTGAGCAGTGTTGGAAATTCAGGGTGCGCAGGGTGCGCGCGCAGCATGTTACACCAAAATTGTGAAACATTTTATGTGCA